GTCAATTGTGTGTTGCTTGTTATGTTGCTTTTGTGCCTATTAATAGGCTTTAGCTTGTATTAGGAAAGCAGCCAAGGAAATAAAGATTTGCATAGTTTGGCTCACCGCCTCCCTCTCCTCTCTCCCTCCTCCTCTTTCAAGATCCATGAGGAAGTGCTTCTTCCTCAAGTGAAGGGATCTCACAGAGCTTTAACAATGGAGTTTTTTTTTAAGGAAGTGATCAAGTCAACAACATGATCTATTGAGATCTTTTCCATTATATTAAAAAAAGAGACTAATCTAATCAGTAGAAACCTAGAGAAATTTATCAAAATATGAATATATAGGTGTTTATGTTAGACACTAAGGTGGGAGAGAACCAAAGACCTTAGTGGCATAACTAAAAGTTATTCTCTTAGGATATCATATGGAAAAAGGGGTGAACTCACCTAGAAGAGTTTTGAGGAGTGAGGAATTTTGTTAATGCCAACCAAAAAAGGAGACTTTTAAAATGAGCTATCGAGACACTAGTTTATAAGAGGGCATTAATATTGATATTTCTTTCGAGGAATGCAACTTCATTGTACAAGATGCCAAGACACTAGTATCTCAAGACAAGACATCAAGAAAGCGCAAAGAGTTCAATGGCTTCGTGGGATTAACTACTGTAACACTAGTTTCTTTAGTGAATACAAAAAAGAAGCTGAGAGGAGGATGACTATCAGAAGAAATCAATATGATAGCTCAACTAATAGTCGAATAGGACAAGTTATCAAGAGAGGCAACCTCTTAAAAATAAAATGTCTAAGCACTAGTTTTATAAATCAAGTTATTGAGTGGTTGCCGAGAATGACATGGTTCTAGGGGAGACTGACTAGAAATAGACAATAAAGGGTTAAAAAGGATTCGCCTGGGAAAAATCGACTATGATATTGGTAGTCTTGTCAAGGGTTAGGTTTGCCTATGCATGGTATAAGATCAAACTCTATACCTAAGTTAACCAAATAAGATTATACTTAGAGGCTTTAGTGCTTTACCATCTAATGTAAAGCCTAGAGAAAAGTACTTGGATCTAGGATGATCATTTAGAGTTGCTTAGAAGTTTTGTTGACTAAGCCTACATCGTGAGATAGACACTAAAAGATATTGAGGTAACAAAAGAGATGGCATCACAATTACATGTGATTTGCAATGTAAAAAACTATGCCTTTCTGGTGCTTAAATAAATACTAGATTTATTATAGGGTCATCTTCCTAAACCCTTAAGGTTAATTCAGAATAACATAATATTGCTATAATAGGAAATCTTCAATAGCTAATGTTTCAAACTTGTTTATTTCATGACCAGTTTTATTTATACATTTATAGAACAAATGAGAGAACAAAGAAAAGAGAAAAAATCCTTCCCATCCAATCCTATTTTACATATAACTTCTAATACTTGATAGATGCTGATGATAATTCATCAGTCTATCAGTGATATAGAACAGTCCTGCAAAACAATCCATTGAATTAAACGAACAAAGGGTCAAATCCTTGAAGAAAGTGCGTGAATCCACCAATTCTGGCTTAAAGGAAGAACTTTTTGAAAGAATTGAAGAAGAAAAATCAGAGGATGAGGAGCTGGAGCAGCTTTAAATTAATTTATATTTCTTGAAATCAGTTCAATCAAATTGCCGCCAGCGAACGGTGGAGCGGTTTGATGGCGTGTTGGCGGAGCCCAGGGCAAGCGTAAAAACGCCGGCTTGACTTCATCTTCCAAGGAGAAGAAGGGATTCTCAATGCTGTTCACCGAAGGGGTATCCGCCGTCGCCGTCTCGTCCTCAAATACCTCCCATTCCTCAGTCACCACAGTCTTCGACGGTTTCCTGCTCCTCTCTTCTTCTTCCTTTCCATAATTTCTGTTCTCAGCAATTCCGGGGATGTGGCCACGCACGAGAGCCTCGAGATCGCTGATGTCCTCCTCAGGTATGGACTCCACGGGAGGGATATCGGCGGCGTTCAGCACGCCGAGGCTACGGCAGAGGCTGAAGTATGAGGAGAGTTGCACGCTCTGCTCTGCAGCCCTACGGAGCACCCTCATCCCTGCTATACCCAGTCGCTTCCGCTCCTCGGAAGGCACGGCCATCTTCGCCTTTGAGGATGCGACGGCGGTGTGGGAGGCAGAGGAGTTGGAAACATCAGAGCCGAGCACATCGACGAGGAATCTGGCGATGCCTCTACAAATGCAGCTATATACCTCAAATATCTCAATGATGACACAATTCATCGCCTCAAGGATGAGCCCCACCTCCATTCCGTCAGCATATGGCCGGATCTGCATTAACAGCTCGAGCAGATCTTGCATCTTCGCCAATATCTCGAGATCACCTTCGATTGAATTGACGGAGACGGAGGAGGAGTTGTTGTTGTCTTGGTTATCAAATTGGGAACTAGATGAGGAGAGGACGGAGCGGTAATCGAGGAATTGGAAGTAGGCACGAACGAAGGCGGAGAAGCCGTAGGAGGCTACCGAGGGGCAAGCGGATTGATCACGAAAGTCGGAGAAGTCGAATGGGAGGCGGCCGACGCACGGGGTGGCAGCGGAGCAGAGGAGGACGCCGTGAGTGACCAGCAGGGTTTTGAGCGCCACAGCCCACGATCGCGTCCGGGTCGCACGGCGCGTAAGCGCTCGCAGAAGAGGGGCAAGGCAGGCGGGCGAGGTGCGCGCCCAGGCGAACACCCTCGCCGCGTTCTTGTAATCGATGGAGCGCTCATCGTGGTTGGTGGCGTGAATCACGGCAGCCTCCATCTCAGCTCGATGCCCACCGCCCGCAACTCGGCTCAGGTACACGCTCCGCTTGTCCTTCATTGCCGCAGTTGCTCGCCTCCACCATTGCCTCGTTGACGACGTCATTGCGACGCGCGCCCACCGGGCGTCGCTGCTGCCTTTTCTAAGCGTTTTTCTGTCTAATCTGTTTTGGCTATGGAAGGGCGAAAGGGGTGGTATACAATATAGATAATTCGTCGGCGCGCGGGGGTAAGAGGGGCAGAGATATAGAGGAGGGGTGGGCTGGCCGCCGGCGAGCGATGTGGGAATGTCCGGGCAGCTTGTAAGGTCAATGGTTTTGTTTAGGAAGGCTGGCAGCTGGAGGAATCCATATATATATATCAATTCAATATCTTTATTATGGGACTTAATTAATAGTTATTGTTGCGGGTTAGAATATATGCGGCAGTAGAATGAGAAAATTTTTGTCTTAGCGTTGTTCAGATATTTAGCACACAAACAGAGAAGATGAAACACCAGGATTTTTATGTGAAAACCCTTGGAAAAAGGAAAAAACTACGGGGCCACGCCTAGTTGAAATGATTCTACCAAAATTGAGTGAGTTACAAAACTTGACCGGTCCTTTAATTTGGAGATGACGAAATTAAAATAATTTAGGGAGTTTGCAGAAACTTGATGATAGTTGGTGATCAGACAAAAGTTCAACAACAGCTAGTGGTCAGACAGAAGTCTGGAAACGGCTAGTGATCGGGTAGAAGTGCGGCGACGGCCGGTGACTGGGCATAAATTTGACGACGACAGGTGGTGGGTAGAGATCTGGCGATGATCAATGGCCGGACGGTGGTCAAGGAGGAACTTGGTGGCAAGAAAGATCTCATATATCTCTTCCTTCTTCATATTCTTTTATTTCTTTTCTTTTCTTTTCTTTTTTAATTTTCATGAAAAATGAGGAGTCTATTTAAAATTTTTTAGGAGTGACATGGCTAGTAAATAGTGTGAAGATCAATAGTATGTTGGGAGTGTTTTTTATGGACGGTCGATATTGATTCCCTTGATCATAGATCATTTATCTAGCATTTCAGTGCCTTAATGATATCAGAATTTGATGATCTTAGGCTCGTCAAAACATGGCTAGTCAATAAAAACTTCTAACATTAATGAATGATTTTGGTATATATTGGCCTATCCATAATTTACTTGATCTTAGTAGGTTAGGTTGGAGTCTAATAGTTGAAATGATGAATCTTAAGAATATTACTTCTATTTGAAGGAATAAATATTTTCTAATATTGATTTAAAGTTTTTTGGCTCTCAAGATTTCAAAAATAAGTCGAAAATACTACAAATTTTCTAATGAATAATTTAAGTATTTGGTTATCAATCTTATAAAGTTTCTATAAGTGATAGCAATTCAAAGAACGTGACTAATCATCATAGCCATTTGACATCTTAAAAGTAAATTTTCATTTATCACCAATCCTAAGCTTAATTTGATGATAGCAGCTTCTAATATCTATTTTGGAGAAAATGATTGAACAAGAAATAAAATCAAGTATGTCATCTAGTGATGTGAAACTACATGCGGGGAGTTGAGAATTGCACTTAAGAAATTAATAGAAGCAATGAATTGTAGCTTACTACCAAAACTCTTTGTTTACTCAAGTTGAGTTTAAGAATAGGACATAGAAAGATTAAACAATGACAATCAATTACATATAGAGAGTTGAGGAGCCTCACAAAATAACACCAAAACTTAAATAATGCAAGTAGCTAGAAATAATCAAAAGCCCCAAATTTAAAGTCTAGATCCTTCACCTTGTGGTCCGTCACTCATTTTGAAAGTGGCGGCTAGCGGAAGAGAATTGTAAGTAGACTTAGCGATGCCACTAATAGGCAAGTGACCTTGAGAGGACTTGTCGCCGGGAAGGGAGCCGGGTTCGGAGGAGCGGATGGACGGCCTTCAATGATCCACGTGTAGACGGAAAAGAGTTCGTCGATGGAATCCACTAGTGTTGGTAGAATCCGATTCAAATATTCTTCGACGGTGTCGTCAAAATCAAGCCAACGTCGAAGAAGGGTGATTTGATGATGTCAACTCTTCCTTGGTTGCGTACTCAAACCCGAAGTTCCACTCGGGTTCCTCCATGCATTCTTGGAGATGAGGGTGGGTGGTCGCTGCAAGACGTTCTCAAATGAAGGGGAGAAGTGGCTCGGGTGGGAGGAAGGGAGGGAGACGGTGAGGGAGGAAACCAAGGGAAAGCAGGAAATCTGAATTTCTGCAGATTTCGGATAGATTGAGAGGGGTTTAAATTTGAAAATCAAATTAAACCAAGGAAGGACTAGGGGCGGTAAAGAGAGGGAGATTATGGGCTTAATTTGGGGAGAATTTGAATAAATTATGGAGAGAGAGAGGAGCCATTGCAGGGGTGCGGCTGGACTAGGGAACGAGCAAGAGGAGAAAATTTAGTAACGGGTGGTTCACGGGTTGATTAGCAGATTTTGAGTGAAATCTGTAAAAAAACAGATTGTCACCAAAGGAAACTTTCCTCTAATTGAGGAATAGAGGTCAGGCACGTGAGTTTCAAATAGGTTATTAAAGCTTAATTAAAACATATGCCCAAAATCTTGGAGTCAAATAAGGCAGGTAATCAAAGGCTTATGAGGAAGTTTGAATTTCAAATCCAGAATTTCACAGGGGCGGTGGGATGGAGTTGCGGGGCTGCTGGAGGGATGCTGGCCGGCGGATATATGGCCGGGATGTGGCCGGCGGGAGGCTGGCCGGTGGTTGGCTGGACTGAGGCCGGCGGGAGGCTGCCACCAGGGGAGGGGAAAGAGCCGACAGCCTAAGCTATTTGGAATGGGCGGCGGTAACAGCAAGGGGAGAAAAGAAATTGAAAATTTCTTGGGATTCAATGATCGCAAGTTAACTAACCTCAATTGTAGTCAAGTTGACGTTCCACAATATTAACTAGTATTGAAAACTAGAACTCACGGAGAGATCTAGTTTTCTCCGGCGAACTCACTAAGAGATCTTGGAGTGAACTCACAAAGAGAACAAGAAGTAAATATCATTTCATCAAAAATTGCCTCATTCCAATACATGATGCCTCATATAAGGAGGTCCAAAAAATAAAGACTGAAAAGACAGAAATGCCCTCTAGGCTACATAAGCAAAACAATGCCCTTAGGGGCAAACTCGGAAAACTAAAAGTACATATGAAATAAGCTGTAAATAAATCAGAAATAGAGGCTCTGGATCGTAGCCATCGATCTGTGTCGCCGACGATGATACACGTGTCGAAATCTGATGTCCACATCATCTAGTCTAGGAATTGGAAACCTATACTTGATTATGATCTTATCTATGGTACGACTATCTAAATATATTTTCTAAGATTCATCATTTTTTAGTGAGAAAGATTGTGACAACATAAGAACTAAAGCTTTAATATAAGAAACCCTTCTTAAGAATGTTATTTACTTCATATTGTAATTTTGTATATTCAATCATATTCATCCTTTAGTCATGGATGTTATTGATGTTCTCACTAGACATATGTAAGAGGTTGTACTATGGTGTGTGTTTTTTGTTGATGATATTCTTCTTGTTGATATGACTAGAGAGGGAGTTGAAGGTAAACTTAAATTATGGAGGCCAACCTTAGAGTATAAAGACTTTCGTTTGAGTAAATCTAAAATTGGTTATATGGAGCGTAATTTTAATAATAATAGATTTAGTGGGGGGATTGTGACTTTGGGCTATGAAGTCATTAATAAGAGCATACATTTTAGATATCTTGAGTCTATTGTTCAGAGTGATGGTGAAATAGATGGGGATATAATTAGTAGAATTCAAGTTGGATGGTTGAAATGAAGGAATGCATCGGGCTTGTTATGTGATAGAAAAATCCCTTTCAAACTTAAGGGAACATTTTATAAGATGAGAATGTTGGGTATTAAAAGAGAAGCATAATATTAAGTTAAGTATTGAAGAGATGAGGATGCTTAGGTGGATGAGTACCTTTACTCTTAAAGATAAGATACGAAATGAGCATTTACATAAAAAGGTTGGAGTAGCTTCAGTGGAAGATAATATTAGAGAGAGTCGCCTTATTGGTTTGGCCACATAAAATGACGGCGTTCCGACGACCCGGTTAGGAAAGTAGATGTATTAAATTTGACTTATATTAAGAAAGGTAGAGGTAGACCTAAAAAGACTTGGTTAGAAAATATTAGAAATGATCTTTCTTTATTAGATTTATATGAGAATTTGACCCTTAATAGGACACAATGGAGAAAAATGATTTATGTAGCCAACCCCACATAGTGGGATAAAAGGCTTGTTGTTGTTGTTGTAATCATGTTCATTCTTTAATACGATAGGTTAATTAATTGTGAACCTGAGGTGAAGTCATTGGTATGTTGGATGCCTCTTATTAGGGTTAGCTCATCAAATAGTTCATTTGGAATCAAATTAGATAACTCAAAAAAGAGATTAGAGATCATGACAGATATGTAAATCTCTAAAGAGATAGAGTTGAACTACATAACATGTAATAAGTATAATGTGCAATCCATATAATTATTTTTTAACTTTTTGAAACCTAGGTGTTTAATACAGATATTAGTTGCAGGAGATAAATCAATAGGGAAGGGTTTCAAGCTTGAGGGTGAGAAAGCGAGGGTGGGGGTGGGATGGTTTAGTAACTATAAGTTGAAATTTTACTATTTTATTATGGTCAGTCATAAGGCCAGCC